AATCACAAAGCTCTAAAGAGCTTGGACTTTATCCTGAGGGTAATGGGGCCCACCAGTGGGTCTGAAAGCTGGGAGAGGCATAATTAGATGTGCGATGTGGCAAACAGTCTGATGGAGTGAAGACTGGAGGTGATGAGACCCTCCAAATGGCACAGAGAAATCTAGGCCGAAGGCCATGAAGGCCTGCCTTTACGTGGCAGTAGCAAGAAAGAGCCCTAGTGGCACAACGGTTAGGCAGTAAGCCCACCAAAGATCATGCACAAAAAACCTGACCATCTGCCTCCATAAAGATGGCAGCTTAGGAAACCCTATGGAGCAGTTGTCTGTCCTACAGGACCCTATCAGCTGGAATGAGCTCAGTGCAAACAACAAAAGCAGTGAGGAGAAGAAATACTGAGGTAGAAGTGATGTTGTTGAGTGCCATCGAGTCGGTTCCAACTCACATCAACCCTGTGTAGGGTTTCCGAAGAGTGGCTGGTGGGTTTGAAGTGCCGATCTTGTGGTTCACAGTTCAGTGCTGACCCTACAGCATCACACCAGGAGTCCTAGGTAGATGTGATGCAACTTAATAAGTGGCTATGAGAAGGAAGTGAGAGAGCGTCTTAACTTTGGGGAACCGGGTGAAGGTTTACAGAGCAAATCAGTTTCCCGTTCTACAATTCACATGTTTCCTCCAAGTCACTTATTGCAATCCCCACAAGGAGTGTGTACTTCCCTAGTTGTTGTTCCCTTATGCTGTTGTCGCTGTTAAATGCCCTCAAGTGGATTCCAACTCATAGCTACCCTGTATAGGGTTTCCGAGGCATTAAATCTTTATGGGAGCAGAAAGCCACATCTTTCTCTTGTGGAGTAGCTGGGGGCTCAAACCGCTGACCTTGTGGTTAGCAGTCTAGTACATACCTTACAGAGTCACTGTACGAGTTCAGTTCCAAACCTGAAGGTGACTTAGGGCCAGTCTCGGAAGTTCCACCAGTCTCTATCTAACTACTAAGGCTGGTTACTCTTTTAATGATTTTCAGTTTTGTTCCACGTTTTTCTCCCACTCTATCCAGGACCTTTCAAAGTGATCCCTTTCAAAGCAGTTGAAGGAACACCCAGGTTTCTAATTTGGGCATCTGTATAGTTGTGGTAAAGGAGCTCTGGTAGCGTAGTGGT